CACACACACACACACATATATATATATATATATATATATATATACACATATATAAATATATATACATACGTGTGTGTGTGTGTGTGTGTGTGTGTGTGTGTGTGTGTGTGTGTGTGTGTGTGTGTGTGTGTGTGTGTGTGTGTGTGTGTATGAAATCAGTGAATGTTGATTCATAAATAGTGAAGTGATAGTGGGTGAAAGCTTGTGAGGCAAGATGCAGGTGCGCCTTACTTCAGGTTCGATTAGTTTTACCATGTCTCTAAATGTTGCTTATGGTAGCAAGCGAAAACAGATTTATTTTTTCTCCACCGTTGATCATGTTTTTGCTTCATCGACGCCGGAAGTTAATCAACCAACGCCGATACCTTCAGCCGGAAGTCATGCTACCAATGTCAGTTATGAAAAAATTAAATGCTCTGCTCCCATCATCACTCACAACCGAATAATTCCAAATTAATGAGCACCATTGGAGAGATTTCATAACAGGAGTCCTTTCTTTCTTTCTTTCTTTCTTTCTTTCTTTCATTTAGTTATTCCTTCTCTTCTTTTCCCAGACAGTCTTTGTTCGTTCGTTTCTTTTTTCTTTCTTTCTCTCATTTTTTCTTTTTATCAATTTTCGTTAATCATTATTATTATTTTCCTTTCTTTCTTTCTTTCTTTCTTTCTTTCTTTCTTTCTTTCACTTGCCCATTCAGTCTCTTCTTCATTGTCGCAGCCATTCTTTGTTCGTTCATTTGTTTTTTCTTTCTTTCTCTTATTTTTTTTATCTATTTTCTTTCGTCATTCATTATCATTATTTTCCTTTCTTTCTTTCTTTCTTTCTTTCTTTCTTTCTTTCTTTTACTTACCCTTTGTCTCTTTTTATCCTATCACAGCCATCTTGTTTGTTTTAATTGTTTTTTCTAACACTTAGCTATTCTAGATTTTCTTTTCTCTGCCATTCTGTTTGGTTTGTTTTTGGCTTTCATTGTTTCCTTGATTTTCTAACGCGTAGCTATTTTCTCATTTTGCTTTTTACTGTCATTCGGCTTCTCTTTGCTTTTTCTATCATCGTCCAAACTCCCTATTTTCTTCCTTTCTTTCACTGAGAAAATCTCTCTCTTCTCTCTCACTGCCCTCTTCTCTTTTTCTACCATTTCTTTCTCTCTTTCTTTCTTTCTTTCTTTCTTTGCTATTCCCTCTTTTCGTCTTTCTCTTTGATATTTTTCTTTTTTTTCTTTTCCCTTAATATCTTCTTGTCTTTACCATTTTTTTATTATTTCTTTATTACATTTTTTTTCTTGTTCTCTTCAATGTCATATCCACATGCTCTTTCTTTTTTTTTTGTAATTCCTCCAGACATCCAGGCAATATTGGTCGCATAAACCCACATACCTCCATGTTAACTCTCGACAAGAATGCGGCCAATAAAAACGTGCCGGATAAAGGTAATGAAATATAAATAAAAAAAAAAAGAATCCCTAAGTGATGATTAAAACATACCTGGCCTTTTTACACCTGCAATATTGAAATTAAATTTCCTCATCTCATCTCATGTTATTTATTTAAAACGAAACTAAATTAAAACAGACTGGGTTTTATCCATGACTTTTAATAGATTTTAGATATGTTAGTAGGGGCCGAGTGATGTAAGCCAAGTTCCTATTCCGGCTTAGGCAGTTTGTCCCTGCTTTGCACTAATGCCCTCGGGAAAGGCATGAATCCATCTTATATCTCTCTCGCAACGATTAACTACAGTTAAGTAGGGCAGATTTGGATCTCTTACCGTGCTTGGTAATCAGCCTAGTCGAAAAATAATTCTGAAATAAAAAATAATGGTAAAACATTTTAATACTTACTGCAGAAAAGAAAGAAAGACGTGGAGAACCGAATATAGCCTACCACATAACTAGAAATTACAGAGAGAGAGAGAGGGGGGAGAGAGGGAGAATGAGAGATAGAGGGGGAGGGAGAGAGAGGGAGTGAGAGGGAGAGAGGGGAGAGAGAGGGAGATAGAGAGAGATAGAGGGGAGAGGGAGATAGATGGGGGGGGAGGGATAGAGAAGGAGTGAGAGGGGAGAGAGAGGGAGATAGAGAGAGATAGAGGGGAGCGGGAGAGAGATGGGGGGAGGGGAGAGAGAAGGAGAGAGGGAGAGAGGGAGATAGAGAGGGAGGGGAGATGAGATGGGGGGAGAGAGGGAGTGAGAGGGAGAGATGGGGAGAGAGGGAGATAGAGAGAGGGAGGGAGAGAGACAGTGGGGAGAGAGAGACAGTGGGGAGAGTGAGTGAGAGAGAGGGGGAGAGTGGGGAGGGAGGGAGGGAGGAGAGGGGCAGAGAGAGAAGGGAGAGAGAGGGGGAAGAAGAGGAGGAGATAGAGAGAGGGAGCGAGAGAGATAGAGGAGGAGAGGAAGAGAGAGATTCTGGGGAGAGGGAGAGAGAGAGGGAGTGAGAAATTACAACGTTTTCCTCGGCCCTGATCAGTTGTATTTATTATCTGATGAGACACGGAAAGAAGAAACATTATCCATGGGGATCCCAACTCTGCGCAGCACCTCCGCATTGCACTCGAGTTCACCTGCTCTATCACATCAGTCCAGAAATGTAGGATTGCCGCTGTGTATGGCCTGGAGCGTCCCAATACTCACTGTCGAGCTTTAACAGAGATCAGCGTTTTTTATCACATTGCAATTCCTTTCCTTTCCTCGTTGCGAGCCTCTCGTCCCTCTACGTGTCCACGCTTACTGATGGATCACGTTGAAACACCAGTTTCCGTACGGACACCTAAATGGTCTGGACCTAGATGGGTGACCATTTGGGAATACCGGTTGCTGTAAGCATGGGTGTGCGGATGGTGTAATGGATAATGACTCAGAATTGTTAATCGGGGAGCCGAGTTCCAGTTGCTGTTGGGTTCGTTGTATTCGTTTACGTGAAAATACCATTGGGAAAGGTATGAATTCACATCTCCCCCGTAGCTGTGTGTTAATTAGCAGGACTTGTGTCACTAAACCATTATTATCTCTCCCTACAAAATTCTCTTCCTCCCTCCCCTCTTTCTCTTTCTCTCTGTCTCTCTCTCTCTCTCTCTCTCTCTCTCTCTCTATATATATATATATATATATATATATATGCACACACCGGGTGTAACAGCTAAATTGCCCAAATCGTGTAACAATTGTTCAGTTCGATTAGGCTTTGAACCGTTGTATCTTATAGATTATATCTTACTCTACTTCTCCGAGGTTTTTATAACATTATTGGACTCTACTTTGATCAATAAAATCGTATTTAGCTCTAAGTTGAATTGACGATCTCTCTTGCTGTTGTGACCTCTTGATTCAATTTTCCTCTTTACTCCTCCCACTTTTTAAAACTTATTTACCGTTCTTTTCCTGGTTCTTTAATGAATTTTGAAGATGGAAGCCAGTGTATGAATGTTGGTACAATTACTGAATTACGGCCTAAATGATCTTTTCCTCTCATCATTGCTCAGATGGGAAGATATAGTGGGGCTGACACAAAACGATTTTAACCTGTTCTCTTTTTCGCTGAATAACTCAAAGGGTTTTTCAGTGATTCTTACGACAAATATTGTCAAGATGGCTAAACGTCTTATCTGAAAACGTGTAAAAAAAAACTCAATTAGTTTAGTGGGTTTTACATCTTAAGCATTTTGTGGCATGGACAATTATCCCATGCTGTTTCACGATTTGGACAAATTTGCCCTTTACACCCGGTATATTTATATATATATATATATATATATATATATATATATATATATATATATATATATATATATATATTTATTTCATAAAGTGTGCTATATTTCAGAGATAAAGTGCTGTAATATCAATTTAAAAGTGACTTAATGTTTATATAAATTTAAAAGTATATATTTATATATATATATATATATATATATATATATATATATATTTACCAGGTGTATATATCAGGTCATCCCATAAGTTCTGTTTAAAGAAAACAAGTGACGAAATGTTACATTTAATTACAGATTCAATCAACAATGTATTTTCCCTGATTATCTATGACTTCCTTCCATCTATTAACAAGCTTACTAATTCCATTACTGTAAAATTCTTTTGGCTTTGATTCGAACTCACAAATGTCAGTTTTAACCTCTTCCTGTCTTACAAAAGCTGTTTCTTCCAAATTATTCTGTAAACTACGAAACAAATGGTAGTCTGAAGGAGCAAGATCGGGAGAATAAGGTGGATGAGGAATTTTCTCCCAACCAAGTTCTTCGATCTTTGTGACATGATTCTTGCTGTGCGGGGTCGCGCGTTGTCCTGATGAAACATCACCTCTTTTCGATTCACGAGAGCAGGTCTTGTTTCCCTCAAAGCTTGGTTCAAACGCTATAATTACTGACTGTATATTTGAGCATTAATTGCTGCATTAGGTGGTAAGAATTCAAAGTGGATTATTCCTTGGCGATCCAACCAGATTGAAAGAAGAACCTTTTACCCATGAAGTTCCCTTCTTGGCTGTGACTGGGGTCCTTCCCCTTTATCAAGCCACTGTCTACGACACTTAACATTTCGATAAAAGATCCATTTTTCGTCGCCAGTCACAAGTCTATCCAAAAAAGGTGAAACAAGTTGGCGAGAATGGAGAGAAGAGCAGATGTCAACTCGGGATTTGAGGTTGTTTTCAGACAATTCATGAGGCACCCATTTTCCAAGTTTAGGAACTTTCCCAAGTTGTTGAAGATGACGATGAACAGTTGTATGGTTTGAACTGAGAACCACTGCCAATTCCTCAACTGATAAAACAGGGTTTTCTTCAAGGGCTGCTTCAAGAAGCTTTTCATCAAACTCAACTGGATGTCCGGTTCGATCTTCATCTTCAAGGGTGAAATCTCCACCTCTGAATTTTGCAAACCATCTTCTGCAAGTTCTTTCATTCACACATTCCTCTCCATAAACTGAGTGAATGTTTCTAGCCGCTTCGGCTGCTGAGTTTCCTTTCTTGAACTCATAAAGCATTATGTGCCTCAAATGATTCTTGGGTACTTCCATGTTAGCAGGGTTTAATCAAACAAAATTTAATTTTATTGTTCTCTGAAATAAAATTTTATCAGTTTAAATGCATCTAAAAATAAAAATAATGTTCAGCTCCATTAGACATTATAAAATACTCTTTAAATTTCGTTCATTTTAACAAAAAAGTTCGGACAGAACTTATGGGATGACCTGATATATAAAATTGTCACTATCCTGTAACACCAAAATTGTCCAATTGTTAGATTAAGTTTTTGGACTGTGGTAATTTAGAAATGATTAAAAGTTATCATATATATATATATATATATATATATATATATATATATATATATATATATATATATGTGTGTGTGTGTGTGTGTGTGTGTGTGTTTGATTCTTTTTTAGATGAAGAGACGATCATTCCAAATGGAGTTTCAATGTAAGAAAAAAGCAGGGCTTTCCTTTATTGCTTTTTTTATAGGACCCCATAAACTGGGTGATAGAAAAAAGAGAAAAATTCCAAGGTGCAAGTTACGAACTGGAGATAGAAAAATCAACCAGGCGCAGGGGTTCAAACATTTGGCCAGCGTTTTAACAGAAGAGGATTGAACATGTGACACAGAGATCTGAACTCGCATTGGACAAGCGAAAGAACCATTCTAAAAGGCTAAGCAAGCTGCTCAGAAACGGAAAAAAGTTCCTTAAAACCTTAGTAAAGAGTGCTGGATTGGTATGGGATCCTAGATATATGGTAGTAAATGTTGGACAATTTCCCCATGGATGGGGAAACAAAAAGAGCCTGCAGGAATGTAGTTCTACAGAAGGATACTGAGAATTCCATGGGCAGGGTGGGTAATCAGCAAGGGAGTTTGAAATACAATGTCAACAGGAAGAACACTTATACTCATAATCTGGAAAAGACTGCTGAAATTTGTTTGACATGTAATGAGGAGGAAGGACTCGGAAACTTTAAGACTCGCAGGGTATATTTATGGCAAGAGAAACAGGGGAAGGCAGTGAATCACCTACCTGATGAGCTTGTCTGAATAGATGGCGTCATGGAAGCTAAGAGCCTAAGCAAAGTGAAAAAAACTATTAAGAGAAGCAAGAGATAAAAATTGTCGAGAGTCATAATCACATGAGGACACGGCATATAGAATATATATATATATATATATATATATATATATATATATATATATATATATCATAAAGGCCAGCTAGATGTTTTCATAAAAGCTGTCTGCGTGCAATCTGTGGAGTTAAGCTTCAAGATAGAACATCTAACGTAGACCTGTTTAACAGGTGTAATATTGGAGGAATCGAGACTTTTCTCATACAGTCTCAGTTACGGTGGACTGGTCATGTCTTGAGAATGTCTGATGACAGGATACCCAAGATCCTAATGTACCGCCAGTTAGATCAGGGCTACAGGAATGTAGGACGCCCATGGCTGAGATACAAAGACAAGCTGAAAAGCAATTTGTCAGCTGTCAATATACCACGTAACACCCTTGAGCGCTTAGTCTTGGAGTGGGTAGAATGGAGATCAACGTGTTTTAGTGGACAGCAATTTTCAATCTGTTTGTCTGAATCATCTTCAAGAAGCGAAAGCAAGATCTAACAGGTCAGCCAATCTAACAGTGATCTCATCTCACAATCCTCACACTTGCTCCATGTGTGGCCTCCTTTGTAAATCATTAGCGGGTCTTAAATGGCACTTAAGTTTAGCGCATAAACTTTCATAACTGAATCAATAAGCTGGCAGATCCTCATACGTCGAAACCGACGGGAGAGTTCATTATTATTACCATTATTATGATTATGATATATATATATATATATATATATATATATATATATATATATATATATATATATGTATGTATAAAAAAATATGGAAATATTATTGATGACAATCAATGTAGAAAGGCTGGCATTAAAAATATTTTTCCATACTAAACATATTTAGTTCGGCGTCAGGAGAAAAAAAATTATAAAACGTTTTCAATATCAAATGTGTTAAAATGTTAAACGCACTAAACTAACCTAGCCTAAAACAGGCTTACGGATATATCACGTTTAAACCGAAGTTAAGCAACGTCGAACCTGGCCAATAATTATATGGGTGACCGATTTGGGAATTAGGTGGTGTAAGCTTGGATGTGCGGGTGGTTTAATGGATAACGGCTCGGAATTAGAAATCGGAGAGCCGAGTTCGAATTCCAGTTGGGTTCGCTATATTCACTTACATGAAAATACCAGTCGTAAAAACACAACAACAAAGAGCAAAAGGACAAGTCAATAAATAAACTAAAATAAAATCTATTCTCATAGCATACGTCTACAATCAGTTGCAAAAATTATCCTTAGGTTTTCATCTGTATCATTTATCGCATATGGAATAAAATTTATAAAATATTGAATAGAGATTTTACACTATAAAGAAACCATACCGCTAAATATCGATTCCCTTTTTAGTAACAGGAAAAAATATATTTCGGCGAAA